GGCTCCCGAGACGCTCCGCAGGGAGCTGTCCCTGCTGGGCTCTGGGCGGCGCACGCACCTTGGGGTCCACGAGGGCCCCGGCCTTGATGAGGTATTTCACTGCGTCCAGGTGGTTGTTCTCGGCCGCCTCCATCAGCGGGGTCCTCTGGTCCTCCGAGCAGGTGTCGATGTTGGCTCCCGCCTGGGGGGAGGGACAGTGGCGAGTGGGAAGCGGCTCCTGCAGCCACCCCCGGGGAGGACGGGGCGCCTCGCACGCTTCACTCTCGAATGGGAAGATCGCCCGGCTGAGCTCGTCCTTCCACTGCGCAGCCTGGTCGCACTTTCCCATCGAACGCGAAGACCTAGCTGTTGCCATCACAGCTCTGGCTCACGAGGAGCGTTCACTTCTAAATGAACTGGACAGAAACGTCACAGCGCAGCCAGGGCAGCACCTTCAGAAATGAGGAGGAAGGCGACAGCCCCTAAAACCGCAAAGGGGTGCAGAGGGGACCCCGCGAGGCCGCAGGAGGTGCTGATGTGACCTGCATGACCGCAGGACACCTGCCCAGTGTCGCCCAGCCCGTTCTCTGGAATGCTCGCCAACATACACAGAACCTTCTGTGTATTGTGCAGCGATTGCTAGTTTTTCCGAAAGAGTGTGAACCTGAGAAACACGCGGGCGGCCCCGACCGAGCTGGTCACGAGCGAGAGGCGACGGGCGTGGCAGCTGAAGCCCCACAGGGGAGGAAGCAGCACACCTCTTAGACCGGTGGACACACAGCTAATGCTTCGCTTCTAAAATAAATATTTACCATGGGACGGGCTGAGAGTGCCAGTTTTTACTTTCAGCCATTAAATCGCAAAACGGACCTGGCATGGCTCACATGGAAACCGAGATTCTGACAAAGACGCGCTCCTTTCCCAGGTCAGAGGTCAGAGGTCAGAGGCCGGCGCAACAGGTAAGACACGGGCACGGGCACAAGGTCGATTTCCAAAACACAAAAGCTCAAAGCCAAGAAGGGCGGCCCGTCCGAGGGCCCAGTCGGCCCAGAACCCCACAGCAGCTGATTTTAATGATGAACTTGACACACGACGTGCGATAGGCGGACATGCCATAAGCAGGCGCGTGGCTACGCAGCTCCTGAGGCCTGGGCTGCACCGGGGGGCGCCCTCTGCAGGTCCAAGCCGGCACTGTCTGCAAACTGGCCGCCTGTATAGGCAGTACTCCTCCTTGTGCCCAAATTCCCAGTGAGGACACAGGCCGGCCGAAGGCGGGAGCTGCACGTGGGGGGCCCTCTGCACAGGGCCTGAGTCTGGGAGTCTGGGAGGGCAGAGTGGGGCTGATGACCCAGAGCTGAGCTCGAGGGGGCACGGCCTGAAGGTCGGGGGTCAGAGGGCCAGGCCTTCCCCGAGACTCTGGGTCCAGGTTTGAGGAGTGGTTTGGATGGACCAAAAAACCAGCTCTCGGGGTGCTCGCCCGAAAGCAGAGCAGGCCAGCGACCGGCTCCACACACAGCACCGAGGCCTCCTAGGGACACCAGCAACCCACGACTGACTCCAGGACAGCCCAGCGGAGAGCGGTCACCACCAGAGAAGCCAAACACTCTGAGAAGGAGACACAGGAGAGAGTGAGGCCAGCAGGTGCCCGACTGCCAGGCTCCGTCACCCAGAGGAACAGAGCCGCCAGGACAGACGCCCATGGGGACAGCACCAGACGCTGGGCAGGCACGGCCCCCTGTGTCCCCCAAGTGCTCCCTGCCCAAGTGTATGAGGTGAAGACACCTGTGCGAGAGCGCACAGCCCTCGGCCGCTCCCTGGCTCGAGCCCGTGACGACTGGAAAACACCTCGCCTCTGAGAAAAGCTCAGGCGCGCGCGCTCAGAGCTGGAGCAGAGCACGGAAATCCCAGACAGCGCGACGCCCAACGCAGCCGGAACGGAGCAGGCAGAGCCGTGGACACAGACGGAGCCGTGGCCAAGGCCGCTGCCGTGGCTGCCCGTGGTCCAGGACAGGGCGCAGCCAGGGTGTCCCCAGTGATGGCCCAAGGCTGCGGCCGGATGCTGTCACCCGCACGGCCACCCAGCCAAGCCCCGAGCCCCAGGAGCGCGCCTTCCTTCGCTCAGTGTTGTCACCTGTATCCAAACGGCCACACGTGACAGCACGCACGCAGCAGGGGCCGGACAAAACCACACGCCTCCACAGGCTGCGATGCTGGGACGGAGCAGGCACCTGCCCATCAGGCAGGGACCTGGGTGTTCCTTCTCAGAGCTGCCTCGGGGCTGAGGGGGCGCACAAGGCCAGAGCCGACCCAGGGGAGATCACCCCCCACACACAAAAGCCGAACCTCCAAAAACAGCACCCTGGAGCTCCCGGCAAAACGGGACTAAACCTGCCCACCTCCCTCCTCGGGAACCCCAGGAAAGCTGCCTGATCCGAGGAGAAGGGAATACAGAAAGCACAGCCCTGAGCGCCATCACACTCACCACCAGGCCGAGTGCCCTCGGAGGGGCCGGGCGGGGCTCCAACTACAACTAAAGGATTAGAGACAAACTGAGTGGCAGGAACTACAGCCTTTACGAGACTCAAGGCTCCTCTACACAGAGACTGCGAGACGGAGCTAACAGCTCGCCACATGCTGCCCACGCAGCCATGTCCAAACAGAGGCTCTTCGCCCGCGACAGGGCTGGGGAGGCCGAGGAGCTTGGCTGGGGCCGGGCAGCCAGCCCACAGGTGTGTCTCCTTTAAGGCGGCTCCAGGTTCAGGGCGCCGGATCCTGCTCAGTGCTCGTACCTGCCGCCTCTGCGGGCCAGGGAGAAGGAGAGGTGCCCAGGGCACCCCCGGAGAACGCGACCCGGCTACAGCCGTGCGAGAGGCACATGGGAGGGAAGGAGAGCAGGCGAGTCCTGCCCTGTCAGCGCCTCGCGGCTCCCACAGAGCATGCACTGGTGACAGCAATGTTGGGGCCCAACGGAACAGCGGAACCCGCGGATCTCGGACAGTGACGAGGCCCCGAGAACCCACCAGCAGCATTTGGCACTTTCCTTGAACTATAAAGAGCAGCCAACAGGCATTTGAGGAAAACCTCCAGATAAAAAAGAACAAAACAGATGCATAAAATTCAAAGTGACCGTCAGTGATGTGGTCAGAGGACAAGGACGGACTGCGGCTCCAGAGGGAGGCTCGTGGCCAGGACGCAGACCGACAGCTCCCCTGCAGGAGCGGAGGGAGGCGGGATGAGGCCTGGCTGCAGACCGGGAAGGGGAGAGGGGCCCGCAGAAACCCTGGGACCGGAGCGTCGGCGTAAACCAAGGAGCTATGGGGCAGGGCTGAGGACCGCCGGAGACCAGCAGACACTAGGCCAGGAATCTGCGGAGCTCCGAGCGCAGACGCGGGAGCCCCTGGCCCCGTGGGTTACAGGGGTTCCCTGAAGCCCGGGCAGAGAACAGGAAGCACAGAAAGGGTCAGAAGCAACAAGTGGGCTCCAGGAAGCAGGCCCAGGCCGGTCGGGGGGCAGGTCCCGAGTGACAGTGCGGGGTCGGCGTCACAGTCTGCAGTCAGGAGGGAATTAGCAGGTACAGACGCCTCAGCCCTCGGAGACGCAGGCAATGCTAATGCTGGGCGTTTACATGGCCTCACCGCCACTCACACGCTGATTGAAACAGTGGGCGACACACCCCAGGGAGGACCAGGAAGGGAAGGGTGAGCCCGACGGGGCCTGACCCCTCCACACACGAGTCAGTAAATATCTCGACCGAACCCAGCACCAGGGGAGGCGGAGCAGCCCACACGCACCTGGATCAGCATGTGGCAGATGTCCACGTGGCCGGCCTCCGCCGCCGCGTGCAGGGGGGACCGCTTGCCCTGGTGCTCCATCTTGAAGTTGGGGTCAATTCCGTCAACTGTGAACAAACAGGTGTGGCTGCTTATTTTGGAGCCGGCATGAATTCCCGGCAACAGGCCGTCTTTAGGCACCTGCACT